CTTTTTTAGATTTTCATCTGTTCAGAATCACACATTTATAAAGCTTTTAAGTTTTTATTTTCTATTTAATATTTGAGTGATTTTTTAAAAATAAAAGAATGTGGCTTGCTTGCAAATCGCAGAAGTATGTCTCTCTTAGGTTTCACCAGTTCTTTCTCAGCTGTATTCTGTTTTTTCTTATGTCTCCATTTCTCCATTTCAATGATTTCTCTTTTATGGTATTAATTCCAGAACTTCTCTTCTAATCACTGATACATTTCAAAAAGAAAAAAAAATGATTTCTCATTGAATCCAATTAAAATTACTATCAGTTTGATTTCCAAGTTGCCATATTCCCTGCTACGCCCTTGGTTAGATAGCAAGTTCTGATGATTTCTCATTCAGTGCTTCTTTCCGGTTTCTGTCTGTAACGCCTATTGTCCCATAGCAATCTGTGATATCAAACTATCTTTAGTATGTTAGGATGACCATGTTTCTTTCTGCTGTATGCCTCTTTTTCCTGTCCTACTGCCATGTATTTTGCTGAAGGACAGCCATCTTTCCACTTCTGAATCCCAGTCAGTCACACACACACACACACACACACACACACACTCATCAGATATGTAAACATGGCCTGTGTCTCCTCCTGGCATCTTCCCCCCCATCTCTACCACATGACAACTGAGAAGAATTTTTATATTCTTAAAGCCTGGCTGCTGTACTCCATAGGGCTCACTGACCATTCATTTATGTGCAGCCTGTGAAGGAAGACATCCAGGTGGATTGTATGCTAAGGCTGTGTGTGAGAGATCATGGGGCACCTAGATAACCATAGGAGAAGAAGCAGAGGTCAGGTGGAGGCACACTTAATATTACACAGTTTGCCATTGGCAGTACTACCAGGAATATATTGCATTTCATTAATGGGCAAGAAAAGTGAGCTTCTCGCTCCTGGTTGCTTGGGGTATGCACATGCCACTTCTTCCCTATCTGCTTTCCAATGAGGAATGTGGCATACTTGCTTCTTGGCCAACTTATTCACAGGCAGTTCTGACCCTCTTTGTTCTCACTGAACACAGCAGGGACAGAGATTGACAGTATGATTTAAAGCTATGGCTAGACACACCCGTTCAGTCATATTGTCCCTTCCCTAAGTATCTTGGCAGTGGAAAGTTTTTCTAGTTCCATTCCCCTTCCTATGGACAGCTGCCCTGTGTCAGCACAGTCTGTCCCTCACCATGTATTTATACAGTACCTCCTCATGGGTGGGCTTTGATGATCTCAGCTAAGGTGACCCGACACTGCTGCGCCATGGCAATATTGTTTTTGAAATGACAACTCTTCACGGCCCAGTCATCTCAGTATTTTGTCCAGTGCAAGGCCTATTTATGTTAAGTGCCGCTTCTGCTGGTATAAATGCCTCAAGAGCAGGCTGATAGTTAAATGTTTTCAAAGATAGTATTATCACAGTTTTCTCAAAGTAACAGACATCAGGAGTTCTTAATTGTAGGTTGGCCTCAAACAATGATCCTTAACTAGGTGAGCAGAGGAAGGCTATTCCATTTTATGTATTTTTATGGCACTATTTTACCACAGTCTCTTAAGAGCTGCAGGAGCATGAGGCTTAAACGGGAGTCAGCCAGGATTTGGATGTGTGTGCACGAGAGAGTGTGTCAAGTTGAGCAGAACTCCACAGCACATCTGGGACCATTTAGAGCAGTTTTGTTTATAAAGTACTTCAGCTGATTGCAAGGCAAGTAGCAGCTCTGCTGAATGAACCCCAACAGATGTGAATAAAGGAAGAGAGAGTTGTTAGCAACAGTCAAGTTGCTCCTCAACAGTCTGTCTGGGACCCCAAGCATGGGAAGAAGGTGGGACAATTCTGGGGAACAACATTCTGAGGTCAACATTCTCAGCCCCCACCCCACCCACAAAGCTCAATGGGCTTTGTATTGCAAAAATCTGATTCTATGCAGTGAGATCTTATTTAGTGCTTGGGTGTTAAGGATTGTGCTTTTTGCATCAGCTGGTAATAACTTCCTATCACCTTCTTAGTGTATGAGGAGGGATACTGTATTGACTACCTGTGATCAAATAGCTGCCAGCTCAAATGGCTGCTCTGCTATAGCCACTGACTTCCCATTCAAGTCTGACTACCAGAGCCATATTAAAGGACATGGAGTCCATGTGTAGAGCCATATCCTGGGCCCCCACATGTCTCTTATGCTTTCCTCCGACATAAATATCTATAGAAGAGATAAACACATGGTTGGATTCTGTTTGTCAGTTTGGTGTAGTGGTTATAGGAGGCCTAGGGAGATCTGGGATCAAATCCTCACAGCATGAAAGCTCACTGGAAAACCTCGGGCCAATCGTTCTCACTCATAAAGTTTTACAAGGATAAAGTTGAGGGGTAGAGAATCATGTTTCCTAACCTGGGCTCCTTGGAAGAAAGGTAAGATAAAAACAAACTGTTAAGTACTGGGCCCAACAACGACGGACCCAGCTTGGGTACACAGAACAATAGACTGCTAGGATCCTGGGAGGAACCTATCAACCTGGAGTACCTCTGCAAATAACCTATCACGAGTAGTAGGGGTGTGGGGGGGTGTGGTGTTGGTCACGGATTTAAACAGGGCTTTGGTCCT